GGCCATTATTATATGTTTGATAGCCATAACTTCATTAGCACCGCTACCAAAAAATTGGCAAAATTTGCTATATGTCTTTCATAATAACAAAAGCAATTAACGATGAAACACGATTTAACTGACTGGTTGAACTGGTTAAGTAGTTAGATTAGGTTAGGTTATACCGGCGATCCAAAGGGGATCTAATTAGGCCTATGGGCCCATTGCGCTATCATGTAATAGAAAAACTTGAAGTTTAAAACCACCTGGAAACTTTGGCGAAGCTTAAATTGTTGTTTAGTGTGAGGTCTTGAAGTTTATCAAGATTCTCAAAATTTTTAAAAATCAGTTCGATTATCTAACGTAAAACTAACTGAAACTACTACAATTATTACAATATTAGCTGATTTTTATTCAGTGATGATGCCTTTTCAGTTTCTTTTTTTTATTTATAATTCTCTGGAAAGCAATTTTCATATATCAAGCATTCTGTGAACGTTATCTCTCTGGAATCTTCTACTGATTCTTGATCATTAAATTATATAGTTTTTCACTAGATAATACTGTTATGATTTTAAATTAATCACACTTCACAAAAATAATAGAATAAAAAGTTAAATAATAATAAGAAAATAAATATATTCATATCTATATATGTATATTTCTGAAACTTTTCTTTTCGTTCTCTTCGGGTCTCGTCAGGTTTCTCATTCTATATTTTTATTTTCCCTTGATTACTACTGCCTGTTTACGTTATATCTATTAGATACGCTGTGGTCTAACTGCAACATAGTACTAGAATAATTAACTATTTCTACTACATAAAATAAATCGGTCAAACGCGTTGCCCATAACTTCAGTGAGTCAGAGTTACCTATGTAAATCTTCGTATCTACGGCTTATTCCCTCAAGTACTGTGGTACGAGTGGTACGAGTATTAGTAAAATTTATAATACTCCAATTAGAGAAATATCAATAATAATTAATTATTATATTGTAAACAGTTTCACAACTTATCTTAACCTATTCTTTAACCTTTAACCTGTCTTTACCCTTTTCTTACGTTTAAGCACAGCTAAATTGGAAGAAGAATTTAAGTTCTGTTTAAGTATCTATTTGAGCTTACCTTTCTTTCCTTTTTACCTTTATCAATTACTGAATTAAAAACTTGACAAAATCCAACTTCGGTTCGCTCCATGGTAAATAAATCACAACAATTATATGACTTTCGACGCCAATAACACTTATCTGAAAATAATTCCTCGCAAGTAAAGGAGAGAAAGTTTACGACTTCCAGAACATTAACATCTTTTATAAGCGATAGTTGCTTTTCAGTGGTTGCGTTGTTGAAGAGTCTCGCCAAATGAGAAATTTTATTAAATCTCAAATCTTCAAAGTGTTCAAAAAATGTATTGAAAACATCTATGCTCTCCTTAGAAACATTGGAAGGCAGGAAAAGCGAGCGAGCCGCACTTAGACGTTCATAGTTAATGCGATTACGGGCGCAAATGGCAATTGATGGAAATGAGATGTAGAATATTGGATGGACCGAATTCATAATAGTTGTCTGTATTCGCTGTGTGTAATATAAATCGGCCAGTTCAAAGTAAGTTAATATAGCACCTATAGATGTTGCCACAAGTATAAGAAACCAAATTGCTCTGTGGATTACCCAAAATTAGAGAAAGTTCAACTTTATATATGATATAATATGTTATATAGAAGTTTATAGACTTTTAATTACTTTTCAAATTTCTGCACTCCATCGTCAGTCAAATAATGTACACAGTGTAGAGATGAAATATCACAATATTCTTTTCCAAGATGTGCCAATATTTTTTTTATTGAAACTTTTGATTTTTTTGCTTCAAAAGTTTGCAATTTATTTCTCTTGTACGCTTGGTTCTTGAAGAGTTGCAGTTCATTCAGATGCGCCATGTATGAGTGGCTTTGAGGTGCGTTCACGTTTGATGACACTTTCATTTTAAGCATAATCCAAAAGGAATCAGCCATTAAATAGTGTTAAATGAATAATTAAGTGCTGTATTTATTTAACAAATACGTGTATAATACTGCACCATTAATCAAATTTTATTTTCACTAGAAGCTACCAAAAATGATTGGATTTCTTTCTGATTATGAAACCAAAAATCACGTAATGTTATTTATAAAAAATAAACTTCCTAATTGCTTTATTCTTGTTTGATTTTCTTAGTTAAATATCTTAAATATCTTAGCTGTCATCGCTTCTCTTGTATTTCATAGATGGTCCCATTTTATAGCTTGCATAAAACTATAGAACCGATTCTGCAGTAAGTTGTGTTTAACATTCCTTGTGCTATTATCATGTGTGTAACCCAGAAATGAAATTAAGGGGGCTTATTATACTAATAGTATATATAGTCTTAGTTCTTTAGTATTAACACCAGCCCCTCACCTTTTTATATAAAAACTGCAACTACACAAATTCTTAAAATGGTATTTTTTGTGATAAATAAGAGTTGAATGTTAGCTTTCATTAAATCTTTTATATAAAGAGGTTTTTGGAACAGTAGTGAACTACAACAACAAAAATTCTTTTTAATATTATTTTAATTAATTGAGTTTTTGGCCGACTATACAGCTTTTTCGATTATTGCCAAACACCCATCATCAGTGGTCTTGGAGATATTTCTTGTTTTTAATTACAAAGCGATGTAAACACTAATATATAGCTCACAAAATAGAAAGTCATACTCTCCATTATAAGATATCAGTATTATTTTGATTTAAATCGCTGCCGAACTATTTGTTTATCACTTTTCGTGTTCCGAGTATTTTCTAAAAATAGTGCAGCTGTTCTACTAACGAATTCCAAACT